TGCTCTGCCTCCTCTAATCTCTCTGAACCTAACCCCAGGCACACTCACTAGTGACACTATTTGGCATCCTGTCACAACGTGGGCGCGCCTGAAGGAAGTACTGTCATCTTAAGGTATCTGTGCCGGATCACTGCTGCATCAGAGAGAACAGAGATCGAGGTAGCCCCCAAGGAGGCAGAAAAAGCGCAAGGAGCCTGTCCTCGAGGCCAAGGAGTGTAAATGGTGTTCCGCTGCGTCAGCGAGGACCGAACCACCCTTGGGAGGAGGAGCCTGGGGTCTTGCGCCACGCCAGCTGCCCTCGCTTCCCACGAAGGGGCAATGAGCACTGTAAGCCCGCAGACCTGGTGGGGGTCGCGGGGATAGGTCTCAGCCGACTGCCCTACCCTAGCGAGCTTCCTCTCTGGCCTTCTGCAGCGGAACGGAAGAGGCGGGGACGCCCACCACGCGAAAGAGGAGGCGGTCCGAAGTACTCCGCGGGCATCCTTTCTGCGCAAGCGTGCCGCCCAGGCCGGGAGGGGCGGGACTTGGACAGTTGAGGGGCGGGGCCACATCCTGGACCCACCTCCACTAGCTTGTGAGGTTCGGAGTGCTGGGCGCCCCAACTATTCTAAGGGCTTCAGGTGAGCGAGGGGCACAGAGGGGTCAGGAGATCTCGCTCGAGGTCGGGCCATCGGTCTGATCGCAGGTCCGTCTGTCCTGCCGTCTGCCAACAGCTACTCCGCGGAGAATGGGAGAACAAAGGGAGGGGCGGTTCTGGGGCCCCGGAGGGAATCCGGGGTCCCAGGTATTCCGCCCCGCCCGCTGACACTTTCGGTTTCTCCCCGAGTCAGAGGCGCCGCCCAAGAGACCCTGGGCCGGCGCCGGGCGCAGCTGCCTCTCCGCGTTTGCCTGTCCGTCTTTGTGTCTGTCTCAGTGTCTGTCTGGCTGTCTCCGAGCTTGCCTCTACCTTTAGAACTAAGCTTCCCGAACACCGACATCCCACGAACCCTCGCCCCTTCCCCATGGCAGGTAAGTAAGCGCAAGTCCGAGGGTCTCCTTTATACCCTCACAGACTTGGGAACTGGGTGTCGAACGCATCCTCCGGGAATGTGCTCGGACTGGCTGGGTGGGGCCCCTCTTCCTATTAGGCAGCCACCGCCCTGCTCCCCTGCCCCTTCTTTCTCAGTCTCTTCCCACTATGTTTTCCCCGCAGCCTCGCGGCCCTCCGTGGGCTAAGAGGTAATGAGGTGATGAGGCCGCGGGTCCCTTTCTAATCTACCCCTGTCAACTCACAGGATACTTGCCTCCCAAAGGCTACGCCCCTTCGCCCCCACCTCCGTACCCTGTGACTGCTGGGTACTCAGAGCCGGCGCAGCATCCTGGGCCCGGACAGGCGCCAGTGCCTGCCCACGTGCCCCCTGCTCCCGGCTTCGCTCTCTTCCCCTCGCCCAGCTCCGGGGCCGCGGGGCCTGCTGCCCCCTTCCTGCCACTGCCCGTGGTGCCTTCTGGCCTCGAATTCCTTGTGCAGGTGAGTGGGAGCGGGGGAAGTAGGAGTGACGGGGAAACCAGGGCGTGCAGGCCAGCCAGCTGAGGTGGGTGCGGTCTCTACTCTCTTTCCAGATTGATCAGATCTTGATTCACCAGAAGGCTGAACGAGTGGAAAGTGAGTGGAAAGATGAGTAGATTGGGCCTCCTGACGAGGTTAGAGATAGTGGGCTCTTGAGCAGGACTGGTGCCTGAGCCTCAGCGTGTCACCCTTTGGCAGCGCTCCTAGGCTGGGAGACAAGTAATCGGTATGAACTGCGCTCAGGGACGGGACAGCCCCTGGGTCAGGCCGCTGAGGAGAGCAACTGCTGCGCTCGTCTCTGCTGCGGTGCCCGCCGGCCCCTGCGTGTCCGCTTGGTGGACCCCAGCGACCGAGAGGTGCTGCGCCTGCTCCGCCCCCTCCACTGTGGCTGTGGCTGCTGCCCTTGTGGCCTTCAGGAGGTAGGCGAGGAGGGATGGGTCAGGCAAAGGTTCAGTTTAGGGGCAGGTGGGGCAGGCCTAGATGAGGAGGACCAATTATGGAGCAGCACTGGGCATGACGTGTGGGAGTGAACAGTGGGACTAGTGGCTAGTGAGTGGGGTGACAAGTGGTCTTGATGAAAGGGACCGGGTCTTGTGAGGGGAGACAGGTGATAGAGCTGGAGCAGTGAGAGCTTGGGCAAGGGTGCCCTGGCTAGCAGTGACCCTGTCTGTCTCCCACTCCAGATGGAAGTACAGGCTCCACCTGGCACCACCATTGGCCATGTGCTACAGACCTGGCATCCCTTCCTCCCCAAGTTCTCCATCCAGGATGCAGATCGCCATACAGTCCTGCGAGTGGTGGGGCCTTGCTGGACGTGTAGCTGTGGCACAGACACCAACTTTGAGGTATTAGGAATAAGGAGAGATTCCTGGCAACTTCATAAATCAAGATGGCAACTTCCATGAAGCAGTATGGCCAACACTTAGGTCAAGACCCTGAGCTCATCAATCCAAATCCACTGTGACTCATACCACATTTCCTGTGTTCCTCCATACAGAAATAGGATGAATCCGTGGTCTTATAAAAGCATGACAAAGGTTTTAACTTGAGGACCAATGCTAATTATTACCTGCAGCCTTGTGTTGGGGGAGGTGGAATATTTAAGGCCAGGCTAGATTTAGGGTGAAGGATGATCATTGAATTTGCCGTGGGCTGGACCCATGTGGCTGCTGTGCCACATTTGTGAGCTCAGGCCCTGGAGCAAGCGCTAATTTGTTAGCATCCTGTGGCTTGCCCTGCCAACGTAAAAGTCTAAATGGCTCTTCCATCCTGGAATCCAGGTGATATTCTTCTTATCATACATTCCTTATCACTAACCTAGAGCCTGGGCAACCTAAATGGTGATGGTTTCAGGGTGAGGCCTAGGAAGCACCTTTGTTTTAAAAGACAGAGGCACTTTACAGACCCTTAAATTCATTAAAGGATAATTATCGGTGCAGATAAAGAAGAGACAACAGGTATAATCCATAGACTTTTCAAGGCATCTGATAAGGTATACTGCCTAAGGTTACTTTTAAAAATTGAGTCACTATAGTAGCTTGGGGGAGGTTTTGTGATAGGAACTGGTTGAGAAAGAGATAACTTGGTGACTTCTGAATGGGAATGTGTAGACTTAGGGGTTCTCATAGGGCCAGTCTCCCTTTTACATAATTATGAATGGTCCATATTTGGGGCTTTATTTGGGACCACAGGGCTGACCGAGAGAGGCTTTGCTCAGCTTCGGACTGGTTTGTAGGAAGTACCCAGAGCTGTAGGACAGTAGGGGAAGCGGGTGGGAAAGACACAGAAGGAAATCACACTAGTTCTAGTCACTGGAGAATGAGCATAGGAAAAGAACCGAGGAGTCACTGTGCATTACCACCCACATTGGCTAGGCCCTAGAGAGGCCAATGAAAATCATGGTCCTCAGGCTACTTACTGCTGCCCTCTTCCCCCAGTAGATCAGCTTGGATCACCTCTAGTTGAGGTTCACATGCAGCTCTGGACAAAGCCCTCCCTCCTTTGCAGAGGAAAGGGACCCCTATGTGCAGACAGAGCCTTCTAGGAACCTGGTTGGCTGGTAGGGTGCAGCCAGGATTTTAGCAGCCTCCCTTGTCTTCTTGGCCAAGTTTCATTTAAGGCACAAACTGCACCAAATGTGGGTGACAGAGACTTTGGTAACCAAAACAAACCTAGCGACCAGCCATACACTAAAGAGATTGGACAATATTGTGTATATTTCTCCAACCACTGATGTTCAGTTGTCATGTATGGCCCTTTAAGAGCAACAGCAAGAGTCTGGATCCTGATTTTTGCTATATACTCACAGTGTGATGTAAGGTGACTCAGTTTCCCCAGATGTCAGTCACAAAGAAACTCAAGGCTATTGGGAAGATTCACTAAGTGTAAAGCCTACACAGTTCATACATGGTAACTGCGAGAGAGACTGGAGGCAGGTAAGAGCAGTTGTACCCACCCTAGTTGGATCCTTTCTTCCTCTCTCCTCCCTGACAGGTGAAGACTCCTGATGAGTCCCGCAGTGTGGGCCGCATCAGCAAGCAGTGGGGGGGCCTGCTCCGAGAAGCCCTCACAGATTCAGATGACTTTGGCTTGCAATTCCCAGTGGATCTGGACATGAGGATGAAGGCTGTACTGCTGGGAGCCACATTTCTCATTGTGAGTTGGCTGCGCTCCTTTGTTCCTACTGGAGGCTTGTGCACTTCCTGCCATCCTGATTGGAGAGGGTTAGAGACAGACTTAATGGGAGGTTGCAGTCCAGACCTGGGTTGTGATAGCTGAGCCAGGCTGGCCCAGTCAGATCTCCTGTTGACAGTGCCCTCCCCTCAGGACTACATGTTCTTCGAGAAGCGAGGAAGCGCTGGTCCCTCTGCCATCACCAGTTAGAGGCTGCCTCAGGGTGAGGAGATCATCACTTCAACCAGAATTCAAGATAGTCACCTGCCTTGGCCTGGTCCCTCCTCAGAGGCAACCCCTTTACCCCATGTACACTGCAGGGGACAGACAGGGGTGCCTGGGAGGCTGGGAGCCATGATGCCCCATCCCTACTATACTCCCCTGGCCTCCTTCACCTGTGGCCCCCACATAAGGGTATGTATGAGAACCCTTCCCCTGCTACCTCCCACTACTGCCTCCGACAATCCCTTAGCACACAGGCATATTGGCTTTCAAACTTTCCCTTCTCCCTTCCTCCCCCCTCCCCCA